CCCCAACCCCAACCCTAAACCCCCCTCAAACCCCATAAGATGCGCCTACACCCGCACCTGCACCACCACCACCCCAGGCCACCCGCAGCACTACCGGAAACTGATCTCGCACATCTTCGGCCGCAACAAGCACTCGACCAAACAGATCCCCGCCACGCTCTGGTGCTGCTACTACTGCCGGAAGCACTACCAGCGGGCGCGGTACCGGGAGCGCGACACCTGGGCGCTGACGCAGTGCTTCTGGGTGGGGCAGATGCTGCAGCGCCTGCGCACGCTGCCGGACCTGGTGGGGTTTCGGGTGCAGCTGCGGCTGCGGCAGCAGCAGCATCCCCCAAGGCCAAGGCCCAGTCCAAGTCCGCCGGTGGGTGCGCCGATGGTGCCGAGGTGGTTGGTCGAGCGGATTACCTCCAGAGATAACGGCGAGGTGTGGTCGTTTGAGGAGACGCAGGCGCTGGTGGGAGGGGAGATCCGGGAGTGGTTGTTGGAGTTGAGGGCCAGGAATGTTGCCGCGGGGGAGTTTCCGGATGTGGAGATTCTGCCGGTCTGGAGGTGATTTCCTTGGATACAGGTATAATGGGCCTTGGATGGTTTTTGGGGTTTGCTTATCACTTGAACGCCTTCCCCGAATGATATGAGTGTGAAGGGGAAGGAAGGTGGAGAGAGACTCGGGAGGGCGGGATGGTCGTCCTGTCAATGCTTCAGCATCTCCCGGTCGATCTGTGCTTCTTTCCTTTGGCTCGGATCGAGAAAGCCGGCCAGTCATCAGCTCGAATCCTCCAAAATCATGCCCACTGTTCTCATTCTCATTTGTATGGGTCAAATTGCTTGCGATCATATGTAAGCTCGATTCAGCAGTCCCCTGTCCTATGAGTCTGGATTCAATGACGAGAGTTGTGTTTGTCTTTTTCATATGTCGTGAGCTTCTGATGTACACCCCACCATGATGTCTCAGCAAGGTGTCGCGGGTATCTGCCGCTTAGCATCCAACAACTTAGTAGCGACTAGCAGCAAACAGAGATCGCGGCGTAAGCTGCCATATTTCTATCAGTATATCAGTAACTCAAGTCACACCTACACGAAATCCTTTAGATACTGTACCTGGCTAAAGTATTAACGTGTATATTCTCTAACCGCATTATCACTACCACTGCCGACTAGGTACCTATAAACCAGATGCAGCATCCGACAAAATGAACTGTAGGCAATAAAGCCACAAACGAACAAGAGAGAGAAAAAATTCCCCACAAATTCATAGTCAATCATCCACCAACGCCATATAAAAAAGACCGAAGGGAGTCAAGTCATTATCGTATCGTATCATCACATCACATCGCATTAGACTCCCAACAAGCTCCCCCCCTCCGCCTCCCCACATCCAACCCTCAAAACGAATGATCCGGAATCAACTCATATCCACCCTCCGACGGCAACGTATACGCCGCAATGATCAACGCCGCAGCGCAGAAGAGACTCACGCACCAGCTGACGGTACAGAAAATCCAGGATTGGGAAAGAACCCAACCAGGGAAGAAGCGTTTCTCGTTGTCGAACAGGTAAGCCTGTCGATCGGGAACGGTTAGCACCACCACCACCCTAACCAAACACAAAGAACTCACCACAATCGCCATACTCGCCGCCTGCACAATCGCAGACAGCAGAATGAACAAGCTCAAAACCTTCCACCCCGACTCGCGCAACCGCTTCCCGCCGGACAAGACGATCAGGAACGCGACCAGGCTCATGCCCTCCAGCACCACGGCGAACGACATCAGGAACCCGACGGAGCGCCACATCGAACAGAAGTACCGGTCCTCGCCGTGGCAGTCTTCGCGCTGCGGGAAGCTCCAGCAGGTGCCCTCGACGGAGGAGCAGCGGCGGTGGAGGCCGTAGGAGTAGTGGAAGGCGGGCTGTATGCCGTCATCGCGTTAGTCCTTGTCCCTTGAATTTGGGTTGATAAATCAATCCAAAAGAAAGAACGGTATCCTCCCAGCAAAACCCCCAACAGGCCAACATCGAGAGGAAATGGAAGTGGCAAAACGGACCGAATCATAGCTAGCCCATCTGGGAATGGCGATCGAGCAGATGGTTAATCCGAAGGCTGTAGATGGTGGCCATATTAGTTTCGGGCTGCGATGTGCGCGAACAAGGAACAGCAGGGACGTGGTGGAGAGAACGTACAGGCTAAGAATAATATTAAGGAACCGGTGTAGACGATTGTTTTGGTAAGGAACCCGGTATAGTTGCGATCTTCCCCGCGAGGCACTAGATGAAAATCCATCCTGGCGCTGGGGGGATTTCTGGGGGGGGGGTGCAATTATCGTCGCAGGTCTAACGAACGGAAGAGATTGCGAACGGCGGAGGGATTGCTGGTCGGTGCTGGTCAGGTATGTTCTACTGGATGGGGTTGAAATGATACGACGATGACGACACAGCACGAGCCGATAAGACGGGAGTGGCAGCGAAACAGCGGAAGTAATGGAGGAACAATAAGTCAGACAACCCGACCCTAACCACAGGGATGAGGGAGAGTTTATCAAGTAGTAGAGAGGGGGGAGAGGAATGCGAGAAGAATCCAAAGGTCAGTCAGTCAGTCAGTCAGTCAGTCAATCAGTCAGTCGAAAGGACGGAGGGGTCTGTTGCAGCGAAAAATGGAAGAAGGTGGTGGTGGAAAGATGGGATGGGATGAGCTGATCAGGAAAGGGCCAGACAGACGGCCGGCCGGTCGGTCGGTCAGGTGAGGCTCTCTCTTAATCTAAATCCCAATGGAAGTAAGTCAATCAATTCTATTCAATCCAATTCAATTGACATGCAACTCAATTCCCTCCACAACCTCCCCAAAAAAAGACCCGGAATTTATTCTGAAGCAAAAGGTAGAAAGGAGAGAGAGCATGACAATTTAAGGATCCTCTCTCCCCCCTCCTTCACCTCAATCAACAAACCGCATGCCAGCCCAGAAAAAAATACCTCACCTCATCATCCGCCATCCGGAAACAGACCGAGTGGTGTATGACATGACCCTTCCCCCTCCAGGCAACAAGTACAAGTACAGAACAGAACAGGACAGTTTATGATCATCATGAACCCCAGTACAGTCCAACCTTGACTTGACTCCCGGATGATCCATCCACCATTCTCCATCATCATCATCCATGAGAACGCATTCTAAAGCAGTATGTCTGTTCCTCGCAAAACAACCCACCCAAGCTTGGGAAAATCTTATAGTTGCAACATTCCACCCCCACCACCCACCGCCTCAAGGTGGGAGGGGAGGTCCAAGCGTCCACCACCAGGACTGCAATGGCGGGGACTGTACGGAGTACTAGGTAGGTAGTTAACTACTGTCCACAGTCCACTGTATGTACAGACCAAGCAACCAAGCAACCAAGCAACCAGCACCAAGTTTCCTTCTCTCTAGCAGTTCCTCTCGCCCCTCTCATCGCCCACCAACCTTCCCACCCACCCATTAATCCACCAAATCTGTACCAGGGTTCGGCGCAGCAAGCAGCAAGGGGGAAGTAGAAAGCTCAGATGAACAGAGCTTGTTTACGAGACACTCGGACTCGGTAACTAACGTAGTCCAAGTCCATCCTTGGAATTCTTCCCTCCCCTCCCCTCCATCCAAGCAATAAGAAATACTCCGTCTACTCTGCTATACATGCAACCTACCTGACCCCTTTACCCGTCTCTGTTGGTTGGTATCTTTTCCGTAATGCCGATTCGACATCGATCCAGTCCCCCAATAAGATAATTGGAGCAGATAAGCTGCAAGGATCCGAATCAAGCAATCCGATACCTTGTAAGTTCCAAGATCCAAGTTCTTCTCCGCCCGGCGCATTCACACAGTTGCTTTCGGGTCACGCACGGTGACACGCATGTAACCAAGTAACTATGTCTCTACCTATCCTTGACCTGATATGCCGGAGTATAAATCGGAGATTCGACCATGCCCTAAGGACAATCTACAAATCTACAAATTTACAGATCTACAATCTACAAGGAAACAGAATTTGTCCCATCAAATCACGTGGGAGGGTGTCCATCTCCATCCACTGGACTCGTGCTCATCATTCCATCGCCTATCTCACGGTGGGGGAGAAGAAAAGTATAACCTTCTGGCCCGAAGACAGAAAGAACCCACGGCATCAAGATAAAAGAAAAAAGAAGAATCATAAGAAAGATACAGAATAATCTACATCCGACATGAGGCTGGGGATTCCATGACCGAAGCAAAGTCCATGATAATACACGGCCAACCAGCAAGAATATTAAAAAAGAAAAATAAGACAGAGTCAGCACCGCCTCGGTGACAAGTTATGGTAGAAAAACACATCAAAGGTGGGGATGTAGAATGGAAGAGAGAGAAAGAAAAAAATCCAGGTCATCAGCAAGCGGAGAGAAAGAGAGAGAGAGAGGTAACGCCAAACCCGCCAATGCAATCCAGTGCGTCGGACGCTTTCATTCCGCTCGACTCTGCTGGATCATCGCACGAAAGTCATCATTGCTCTTTTTCATTTTTGGTCCGTCATCCGGGGCGGAGCTGTCTGTGTGGTTCGTCATCGTCGTCGTCATCGTGGTGTTGGTCGTAGGCGCGCCATTCTGCGCGTGGCTCTGCCCCTGCAACCCACCGGTGGCTCGCTTCACACCCAGGTGACCGCGCTTGCCTCCGCGCGCCCCAGGCTGCGGCGGCCGTTTGATCGGTCCAGTCGGTTGGAGTCTCGCCCCCGACTTCTCAGTAGTCGCCTTGCTGCCGGCGGTGCTCGAGTGGCCTCTCTTCTCTGCCGACTGCTTCAGCATTTCCGGTACGCTTCCCACGTGCAATCTCCGGCCGGGAGCAATCTCCTGTCCTTCCAATTCCAGCGAGGCTTTTCCGGCAGCATGAATGTCAGCGAACTCGACGATCGCTCCTTGGTGGTCTGGCCGAAGGATAATCTTGATCAGCTTGCCGTACGGCTCGACTAGCGCGCGAATCCGTGCATCGTTGACTGTGTCGGGAACGTTCATCAAACCCAGAGTACGCGCGGCCCGATCACTGCTGGAAACCTCCTCTCCAGTTCCGTTGGCTTCAACCGACGGAGATCGCGAGGCTGACACGCGAGACAGAATTGTTGTGGCACTCCGTTTTGCCCCCTGTGGCGTGGACAACTTCACTTGCAAAGGCCGGGACCGGTACTCTTGTTCGTGCATTACCAAAGCTGCCTCGGCTTCCTCCTGCAAACATAATCAGCGGGACGCAATGATAGGTAGGTTCACACAAACGTACCTTGGAAGCGAAGACAATATAACAGAAACCTTTGCTGCCTCCGTCCACCTTGCGAGGAATGCGCACCTGTTCAACGGTGCCGAACCGCAAGAACAGCTCCTCCACATCTTGTTCGCTAGCCTTCCAGTCCAGGTTACTCACATGAATCTCGCGTCCTTCGTACATCGGACCATGCCGGTCTTGTTTGCGAGTGGGATCGGAGATCTTAGCGACCAGATGAAGGCCATTGCCGACTGTAGACCCGTCTAGTTGGGTGGCGCTGTAGGCTTCTCCAGACGTCTTGAATTGCACGT